GAGATGCCTCTGTGGAGAGCAGGAGAAGACAATGGCCATGGGGAGCCCCTAGGGACAGCAATGGCACCTCCTGGGGACACTAGGGCAGCAGGAAAACCAGTTGGGACCCACCAACAGCTCAGGAGATGCTTTTTGGGAGCTGCCATGGAACCTCCTGGGTGACCTTGGCCTCCAGGGAGGGTGAGTGGAGCAGAGAGCTGGAGAAGAAGGTGGTGGCACATCCCCTCCTCTCCCAGTGCTCTGAGGCACCTCAGCAACCACCACCCTTGATGCCAACGGAGGCTGTGACCTCTGCTCTGTCCAGATAAGTTTTTCCAAGCTCAGCTTGAGGTCTGGAGGGAATCCTGTCCCTTTCCCTGTGCCATGAGGTGTTGTCCCAGAGCCCAGGGGGAGTCCTGGCTGGGAGGGACAGGGGAGAGGGTGGAGGAGGTGGAGAAGTTGTGGCTGTGGCACGAGCTGTCCATTTTTTGTACACAACTTGTTGTAAATAAACTGCCTTGGCCTTTCCTTCGTTTTCTCATGAGCTCTGCAGTGTCCTGTGTGGGGTTTTTTTGGGGGGTGGAGGACACCCCAGAATCAGGAATGGCACCAGGAGAAGGGAAATCAAGGTGGGAAGCAGCACATGGATTGAGGGATGGGGCTGGTTTCTCCTCCCCTTGCTTCAAACACCATGGTGGGACCTCAGCAGGTTTGGGGCTACACCAGCCCAGATGGACACTTTGCACCCAGGTGAGCACCCTAAGATGACTCTGTCCACCCCAAGATGACCCTGTGCACCTCACAGTGGTGATGCTGTCCCATGCCAGACCTGGAATTAGGAGCTGGAGCCAAATGTCATCCGTGTGGTGGGAGATGAGAAGTTGGATGGCACAGGGAGGAAGCTCAGAGGTCTAGGAGGTCTATGCTGAGGGTGGATGAGCCACCAGGCTCTCCATGGAGGCAACAGCAGGTTCTCCAGGCCAGGAGGACATCCGGGGGTTCCTACTGCTCCCACCCCAAGGAGGAAGCAACACCAATTCCTCTCCCATCTTTGCTCAACCTCAATGAGGTGATGCCACCAGAATGTAGGATCAGCATTCCAAAGGGACAAAAAAAAAGGGCCAAAGATCCCTAACCTAATCAACTCCACGTGGGATGAGAAGAATCCCTCTGAGCTTGGGAAGGAATGAAGATGTGTGTCCAGCCAAGGATCTGGTGGTCCTATGGGGTGGGATTCAATCCCAGCATTCAGATGGATCCAGGGAAGGCGTTCAGACCTCGGTGTGGACACAGCTCAGAGGTTCCAGGTGGGACAGCAAAGGGGCTGGATCAGAAGGGACTCAACTCCACGTGGGATGAGAAGAATCCCTCTGAGCTTGGGAAGGAATGAAGATGTGTGTCCAGCCAAGGATCTGGTGGTCCTATGGGGTGGGATTCAATCCCAGCATTCAGATGGATCCAGGGAAGGCGTTCAGACCTCGGTGTGGACACAGCTCAGAGGTTCCAGGTGGGACAGCAAAGGGGCTGGATCAGAAGGGACCAGGCAGAAGAGGTGGCAGAGACCACCATGGTCATAGGAAGTGGTGGGACATGAGTCGGCAGCTCCTAAAATCCATGTGGGAGATTAGCTAGGGGGAAGAGCTGTGGTTTAGAATGGATAATCATGGAATCACAGAGTGGTTTGGGTGGGAAGGGACCTTAAAGATCATCCAGTCCCACCCAGGGACACCTCCCACCAGTCCAGGTTGCTCCAAGCTCCATCCAACCTGGCTTGGAACACTCCTAGGGATGGAGCAGCCACAGCTGCTCTGGACAACCTGGTGCCAGTGCCTCACCACCCTCACAGCCAGGAATTCCTTCCCAATATCCCATCTATTTCTGCCCTCTGGCAGTGGGAAGCCATTCCCCCTTGTCCTGTCCCTCCAGGCCCTTGTCCCAAGTCCTTCTCCAGCTCTCTTGGGATCCCTCCTGGAGCCCCTTGAGGCACTGGAAGGGGCTCTGAGGTCTCCCTGGAGCTTCTCTTCTCCAGCCCACAAGACTCCAGGGAGACACTTTCCCATGGTATGAGAAGTTGTGGGAAGTGATGGATGATAAATCAAGCAGAGGCCTGTGTGATTCCCAAGGTTTGGAAGTGATTCCCTCCTGTGCTTAACAGTGTGCGGATTAATAAAGATAATCTGATCGTTAGTTAATTAAGTTGCTGCTTAATCAAGTGATTTATTAGTCTCTTAGCATTGATTAACTAGGAGGCATCGTGAGCTTGGGAATTCCTGTGCTCCAAAGAAGGAATGTCAGCTCCAAGACACGTCCAGGTGGTCCTGGAACACCCCCAAAGGGTCTCACATCCCTATGGAATGTCACCAAGGCAAACCAAGCAGAGGGAATGACCAGTCATGGTGCTTTATTGTCTTGGAATGCTTGGAAGGCAACTTGTCCATTGATTTGCCCATGAAAAAATGAGATTCCCAGGAAAATCTGTCCCAAACGGAGGAAAAGGGACCATGAGAGAAGGAGGAGAGCACCAAGAGGGTGGAAAGTGGTTGGGATGAAGAGGGATTGGTGTCTGATACGAGTCCTCCTCCAGATCACCTTCACACGTGGGACAGGACAAAGGGAATTCCATGAAATATCCATCACCAAACGCAGTAATTCCTGAGGCCAAGTCCCAGCCTCCATCTCTGGATCCTGGGCAGAGAAAAACCAGGGAAGGTTCTCCAGCCACAAATGGGAATGAGAAGGTGGGAATAAGGAGTAAGGCAGCAAAAAGACTTTAAACCATGGATGGTCATTCCTGGAAACCACTTCCAGGGTGGATGGAAGATCCATCTCAAGTTCTTTGCCACAGGAAGGCGGAAATGGAATGGAAAATGGAAACATTCCTGCATTTTTTCAGTCTTATATCCTTTCATTTGGAGTATTTCTGGTTGCTGCTGGTGATGTCCGTGTGATAGCACAATCCCTGCTGGAGAAGGTGAGGATCACTGCAGCCTTCCCACAATTCCATCCCTAGGAATGCACTCTGGCTCTCCTGGCTATCCCCAGGGCCACCTCAGCACATTCCTGTGGTGGTGAACCTGCAGGACCTTCAGAACCTCCTCCAAGACCAAAGAGATGTTCACCTTATGGAATACAAGTTGATCCACCACATCCCATGTGGAAAATTCCTCCAGGATTGCTGGTTCTTTGCTTCTTTCCAGGACACCATTGGGTTGGTGCCCAGAGCAAACAACAATACAAGGTCCAGCCTCAGGTTGGAGTGATTCCCATCAGCCTGGATGATATCTCCAGCCTTGGGAATGCCCAAGCCTGGCTGGTGACACACCAAGCCACATGGCTGTCCTTGTCAAAGCCCTTCCCAGCAGTCCACATTCCCAGGAGAGCTTCCACCACCCAACCACTCACTGAAGGTCTTCATACCTCAGTTATTGGATTAAGGTCCCTCAAAAGCCACCAGGCAGCGATGGACACAGTGGCTTAGTCCCTCCACCGTCACAGCAAACTGCTTCCAGCCCTCTGCTCCCAACATTCCATGCGAGGTGAGATGAATCCCAGAACCCCTGAGCTTGGAAAAGACCTCCAAGACCATGGAGTCCAACCTGTGATCCATCCCCACCATGTCAGAGCAGAGCACTGAGTGCCACATCCAATCATTGCTTGGACACCTCCATGGATGGTGACTCCACTGCTTCCCTGGGAAGTCCATTCCAATGCTGTAACAACATTTTCCATGAAGAAATTCCTTTCGCTGTCCAACCTGGAATGAAGAAGGTCCCAGGCTCCTTCATGGGGAGAGGTGGGGGCGAAACGTGCGTGGTCGGATCATCATCACCACCTTCCTCAGGGAGTAGTAGTCTGTGTCCTTCCAGGAGTACCACACGATCCCATCCGGCCCCAGCATCCGGCGGTTTTTGATGGAATACCGTCCACCCTGTGAAGCAGAGAAGGATAATCAGCTTTGGGAAGCTTCACCTGGATGGGAACATTGGGAAAACCCAATGCTGGAGTAAAATGTTCCATGCTGATATGGAGGAAATGGCACATAAAGCCCTAAATATTCCATACTGTTCCAGTGAAGCTGCATCCAAACATCTCAGGGTGCTGAGTCACCCATTCCAGGAGTTTCCACTATGTCATCCCAACCCTCAGCATGCAGAGGTGTCTCAATCCTCATGTGTGATCCCTGGCACTGGAAAAGTTGGATCATCTTGGTGTCCAGGGAGCATTTTGATCCTTCCCTGGAGAGCAGAGGTTGGTCAAGCCAGGAAGGAATGTTCTTCTTCCAGGGAACAAGGGATAGGATGAGGGGGAATGGCCTCAGGCTGCACCAGGAGAGGTTCAGGTTGGATATTGGGAACAATTCCCCCTGGAAAGGGCTATCCAACCATGGCACAGCTGCCCAGGGTAGGGGTGGAGACCCCATTCCTGGTGGGATTTAAAGCCCAATATGTGACACTTGAGGACACGGTCACTGGTGACCTTGGAATGTTTGGACTCGACCTCAAAGGGCTTTCCCAACCTTAACAATCCCATGATTCCATGCTGTGAGGACCCACATCCTCTTCCCATCCTTGTCCCTCATCTCCTAACACCTCCAACCTCACCATTCCCACCTTACCTTGTAGTAGACCCCGTTGAGGTTGGAGAAGAAGCACTGGTGGTACCACCAGCCTCCATGGGAGATCTCAGCACAGATATTCCCCGAATCAGGAGTGCTGAAGCTCCTCTTGTTGTGGTACCAGGCAAAGGAATCCTCCACGGTCCCACTGAACCCATCCACGTGCAACCGGTAGTCGTTGGCCTCATCCTCAATGCTGCAAACAACACGGGTGGGAATGGCTCGTGGGAAGGGTTGGAGGCTCCTTTCCAACCTGGATATCCAACCTGGATACTGTGGACACCTAGCAGCCATCTAGACCAACCTCCCTGCGGTGACTCAGCACCTCCAAAGGCCAAGGATGAGATGTTTCTCCTGTCAGTGGGATGTGTGTGGTGTGCTGGTGACTCAGAGAACGTGTTATGGGGATGAACTGGGAAGAACATGACTTGGAAGCCACCACAAAGGAATGTAGGGGCTTGGAAAGAGTTCCTTTCATTATCCATGATGTCTCATCTCCACCTAATGAGTGGAGGAGGATCCTGCTCCTCACTGAGGCTCAGATAATCAGTGGCATCATGGAATGGTTTGGGTTGGAAGAGACCTTAAAGCTCATCCCATCCCACTCCCTACCATGGGCTGGGACCCCTCCCACCAGCCCAGGTGGCTCCAAGCCCCATCCAACCTGGGCTGGAACACTCCCAGGGATGGAGCAGCCACAGCTGCCCTGGGCAACCTGTGCCAGTGCTTCACCATCCTCACAGGGAGAAGTTCTGGATGCCCTAAGGAGGTTGTGGATGCTGAAGGGAAGTTGTGGTTGCCCCAACAAGGTTGTGGATGCCCCAGGGTGGCTGTGGGTGCCCCAAGGAGGTTGCGGTTGCCCCAGGAAGGTAGTGGAACCCCCGGGAGGTCGTGGTTGCCCCAAGAAAGTTGTGGATGCCCCAAGGAGGTTGTGGTTGCCCCAAGGAGGTTGTGGTTGCCCCAAGAAAGCTGTGGACAGCCCAACCCTGTCCATGTTCATTCCAGGAGGGAAAAAGCCGCAATAACCTGGTCTAGTGGGAGGTGTCCCTGCCCAGGGCAGGGAGTTGGGACTAGATGATCTTCAAGGTTCATTCCAATCCCTTAACATACTATGAGACTATGATACATCTCCTTCCCCCTGAGTGAGTGTTGACCACGGCCAAAAAACACTGCACATTCCCTAGGCTTCAAATTTGGGATCAAACCCAGATGGGGAGGAAAGGAGAGACAACCTGGGCTTAATCTGAAAACCTCTGTCAGAGTCATGCTGACCTCAAGAGGCCTCCCAAGCCTGAGTGTCTCCCAACATTGCCTCCACGAGAAGCCGAGGAGGTGCCAAGTCCTACCTGAAGACCTGATAGAAGGCATGTTTGTGTTTGTTGTTCCAGTCCTCCAGGTCAATGCGCAGGGAATAGTCCCCTTGGTTGGTCATCTTGTGGATGTTCTCATTGCCCAACCAGAACTCTCCATTGAGGTCCCCAAACCCTTCCTTGTACTCGTTCCAGGTCCGGTTGAAGTCAACGGAGCCATCCTGACGCCTCTGGATGACTGTCCAGCCTCCACCTGCCAGGAGAGAATGGAAAGGGAGAGTCTCCAGGGGGTTCCAGATAGACCTCTTAGGGTGTCACCTCTGAAGATCTGTCTGCAGCTCAGTGAGGGTGTGGGACCCACATCCCTGGGAGTGCTCCAGGCCAGGTTGGATGGGATTTGGTGTCCCTGCCCAGGGCTGTGGAACTGGATGAGCTTTAAGGTCCTTTCCAACCCAAACCTTTCTGTGTCCCTATGGTTATACAATGACTGGTTTGAACTAGAGCCATAGAACATGGAATATCCTGAGCTGGAAGGGACCCACAAGGATCATCCAGTCCAACCTCTGGCCCTGCACAGGACACCCCAACAATCCCATTATGTGCCTGAGAGCATTGTCCAAACACTCTGTCAGATTTGGGGCTGTGACCACTGCCCTGGGGAGCTGTCCCAGTGCCCAAACACCCTCTGGGGGAAGAACCTTCTCCCAGTACCCAACCTAACCCCGTCCCAGTGCCCAAACACCCTCTGAGGGAAGAACCACCTCAGACACAACTCTCAGACTGGACAAATGCCACCCAGAGCTGAGCTGGAAGCCGCCCTAGGTGGCTCCTGCAGTACCTTCAGTGTCCATCTCACACAGGACCTCGATGGGCATGCCCCTGACCGAGGGCATGATGCTGTAGACCCCGGAGCGCCGCAGCCCATTGTAGTAGACGGAGGCACAGTCAATGGGGCAGTTCCTGGCGTGTTTCATCTCTGAGGGACAGCAGAGAGACGTGGTTAGAGCAAAGGGTGGAGAGAGGAGCCCAAACCACCACAGGTTCCATAAAATATCAGGGAAGTAGTCCTGGAGTCAGGGATTTGGTGTTGGAATGGGGAATATAGGTAAATAAAGAGCCTCCATGTCACACCTTGAATGGATGGTTTGTACAGAGCGCTCCAGAGCCTCAAGGGGCTCCAGAAGTGATCTAGAGGGACTTGGGACAAGGCCTGGAGGGACAGGACACAGGGAATGGCTTCCCACTGCCAGAGGGCAGGGAGAGATGGAATACTGGGAAGGAATTCTTGGCTGTGAGGGTGGTGAGGGGCTAGGGTGGAATTCCCAGAGCAGCTGTGGCTGCTCCATCCCTGGGAGTGTTCCAGGCCAGGTTGTATGGGGCTTGAAGCCACCTGGGCTGGTGGGAGATGTTCCTGTGTGGGACTAGGTGAGCTTTAAGGTTCTTCCAACCCAAACCATTCCATGACTCTATGATTCTTCTGGATCTGGACACCTTGTTAGCAACGAGGTTCATTAGCCCAGGCTGAGGAAGACTTTCTTCAGCTGAACCACTTTTTCATGGCCACACAGACAGTTTTCCAGACTTAAACAGCTCCTATCCCACACCAGGAGGTTTGACACATTGACAAGGTTCTGGTTCTCCACCAGAGATCAGTGTAGACAATACCAGGCTGTGGGTTTTGTCTAACGAGGAAAATGTATTAAAGTGACCCTGGAGAATATCAGGATGGTTTTAACCTGCCACCACCCATCCAGACATCAGGTAGGAGGTCTCAGTGAGTCCTTCTGGAGGGCATCTCATCTTGGGTTCCAGGGGAAGAAGAGCTGCTCTCTCTGTCTCCATCCATCAGCTCCCCAAGGGGCTCTGAGCTCCCTGCCCAGAGTTGCATGGGGACACCTGAGAGGCCCTGGTGGCTCTCAGCTCTCCTCCGTGTCCTCTCCTCTGTCTTCCAGGCTGATGTCCTGGATGCTCTGGAGTATTTTGGGTGCTACCTGAACTTACAAGACCTTACTCATAGGGCTGAATCGCTCTTGGTCCATGACCTGTTTAGGCCCTTCAATATCCAGCTCAGGAGGGGACACAACTTGTGGACACACAACATGGAGTGTCTTCATCTGGGGGCTGAGCATTCCTGGTGGGATGAATAAACGTTCCTCGTGGGATGGATGAGCTTCCTTGGTGGGATGGATGATCCTTCCTGGTGGGACAAATGAGCCTTCCTGGTGGGATGAATGAGCTTCCCTTGTGGGATGGATGAGCCTCCCTGGTGGGATGTGTCCCACCATCAGAGAGAAAGGCAAGAAGGCAGCTCCCATGAGCATCTCCACTTCATTTTAGACCCACAGCCAGAACAACCTGAAGCACCCCATGGCCTGAACTCCAAACTCGGACCACTGGGAGAACCAGGAGCCTGAGGGAGGCAGAAGAGCTGCACCAACCCAGGCTGGAATTTTCTGGGGTGGAGAAATCACCATCACATCATCAAGGTGAATCCAGGGGGAGAAGTCACCATCACATCATCCAGGTGAATCTGACACTGCCTTGGGTGTAGACATCAACTCCGAGGTCCTGGGACACCCAGAATGTTCCTTGCTCATGGCTTAGTGACACCTGGAAGCAGCTCTCAAGCCGAGCTCCTTGTCCTACCTCCACCCCTACGTGGACAGCCAGAGGAGCTTTAAATGAGCACAATGGAAGAGGCTTAACGAGGAGGCTCAGGGGAGGTGTTAATAGGACTTTCTCCACCTCCTCCCCCAGACGTCACCAGCTCAGATCAGATCAAGGTTGGTAGGTGAAAACCATTAGGAGTTCAACTGGATGTGACACCTGAGTCATCCCAGCCAAGCTGCTCCACATAGAGAGGACAGGCATGGAATCTCCACGAGGCATGGAACCTCCTGAGCTGGAAGGGACCCACAAGGATCATCCAGTCCAACTCCAGGCCCTGCACAGGACACCCCAATGATGCCATCATGTGCTTGAGAGCTTTGTCCAAACACTCCTTGAGCCCTTGGGGCTGTGACTATTGCCCTGGGGAGCTGCCCCAGTGCCCAGACTCTCTCTGGGCAAAGAACCTTCTCCCAACACCCAACCTGAACCTGTTCCAGAGCCCAAACACCCTCTGGGAGAAGAACCTTCTCCTGATATCCAACCTAAAACCTCCCCTGGAACAGCTCCATAAAGTCCCTCATGGAAAATAAGTCCCTCATAAAACATAAATCCTTCATAAAAGTTAAGTCCCTCAACCAAAGTCTTGCAGATGGCTGAGGAGAAACATCACTTCATCCTTCTCTAGGGCTTCTCCTGGACAACTGCTGTCCTGTTTGGAGGTGGGATTTGGGGCATGGGCATCAACTGGTATGTCTAATCTTGTAATCTCAAAGGCCACAGACCCAGAGACTCTAGCGGGTTGACCAAACCAACCCAATTTCCCTTCCAGCACCTCAAGGTTGAGCTCAACAGGTCCTGGTCAATGTTAATGGGATTTCAAGCAGTTTTCCCACATACATGTCCTTCACTCTCCTCTCCAGAGAGGGTGTAAGGGTGGAGCATCCTCTCCCAGCATCTTCCATCACCTGGGAAGGTGGTGAGTCTCAGCATCTCACACAATCCATGGAGAGGGAAAAGACAGGATCCTTCTCCTAGACACCACGGGAGCCATCCCAGAGGTCTCCATTGACCTAAGGAGCCCTCCTGGCTGCCTTGGCTCCCTCCACCATGGCAGTCATCCCAGACGTGTCCGTTGCTCTGAGGATGCCTTGGAAGGGCAGGTTGGGAGAGATCAGACTTCTGGGCAATGCAAATGGGACTTCGAGCAGTTTTCCCCACATCCATTTCCTTCATCCCAGAATCACTGAGGTTGAAAAAGACCTCTGAGATCATCAAGTCCAACCTGTGAATGATCTCCACGTTGTTAGCTAGACCAGAGCACTGAGTGCCACGTCCAGTTGTTCCTTGGACACCTCCAGGGATGGTGACTCCACCCCCTCCCTGGACAGCCCCTTCCAATGCTTAACAACCATTTCCATGGAGAAACTCCTCCTGATGTCCAACCTGAACCTCTGCTGGAGGAACATGAGGCTGTTTCCTCTCACCCTATCACACCTGGGAGCAGATCCCAACACCCACCTGGCTGAACCTCCTGCCAGGGACTTGGAGAGAGCAGAAGGTTCCTCTAAGCCTCTTTTTCTCCCAGGTGGCCCCAGGATGTGTCCATCACCTGGATGGTGCATCTCCTCCTGCAGCCTCCTCTCAGCAGGGATTTCAAGCAGTTTTCCCTACCCCATTTCCTTCATCTCAGAATCGCTGAGGTTGAAAAAGATGCCTGAGACCATCAAGTACAACCTGTGACCCATCACCACCTTGTCAACTAGACCAGATCACTGAGTGCCATGTCCAGTCATTCCCTGAACTCCTCCAGGGATGGTGACTCCAGCCCTCCTTGGACAGCCCCTTTCAATGTTTAACAACCATTTCCATGGAGAAATTCCTCCTGATGTCCAACCTGAACCTCTGCTGGAGGAACTTGAGGCTGTTTCCTCTCACCCTATCACACTTGAGAGCAGATCCCAACCCCCACCTGGCTGCACCTCCTGTCAGGGAGTTGCAGAGGGCCAGAAGGTTCCTCCCTCTGATCCTCCCTTTCCCCCAGGCTGTGTCCATCACCTGGATGGTGCATCTCCTCCTGCAGCCTGATGTCCGCAGGGCCGAGGCAGGTGGGATTGCGCCAGGCCCAGTCAGTGAGGACGGAGATGTTGTTGATCTGGGCCTGCATGTCGTAGAGCAGAGTGGCCTGGATGTGCTGCAGGGTGCTGGCCTCACTGTACCGCTGCTCCAGGTCCTGCACGCGTTGGCTCAGGCTGTGGTTCCTCCCAGCTGCCTCCTCGTGCTGCAGCAAAAGCAGGAAAAATGGGATCAGGGAATTGGCATGGTCAAAGGGTGCTTAGGGATCGGTAGGAAAGGGAGAGAGAGAGAGAGAGGGTAAAGAAGACCTTGCGGGGTGAAGAAAAAGAGAAGGAGAACAGGGATGGTGTCTGCATCTTCATCCTCATCCTGAAGCCTCATGTCAAAACCCTGTGGAGGAGCTATGGGTGGCTTGATATTCCCAGGATTCAGTGAAGGGAGGGAACGGACAGAGCAGGGAGAGTTTATAGGATTCCTCTCCAAATGCTTTCATCATCATCATCATCAAAAGGTTTTGGATGGAAGGGATCACAAAGCTCATCCAGTCCCACCCAGGGACACCTCCCACCAGCCCAGGTTGCTCCAAGCCCTTTCATCCAGAGACTGTTCTACTACATTACTGTGCAAAATAATTGTGATTTGAAAACAAGTCTTCTTTGTCCATGTGCAAAAAGCTCATGAACAAAGCTGCCCCCATCTCCTTTCTCTTTATAAATAAGGTAAGAGTTCATTTAAAGAAATTACTTCATAGCCAAAACCATGCAGGGAGGGAAAAAGATCTGTAATGCCTCATTTGCTTGGTTTTTGACGTCTGTATGTGTGCAGAGAATACTAAGCAGTTTGCAAATTGCTTGTTGTACAGCTCTCCCAGCCTGGATCCATGGCAGAGCTGCTCCAGCCCTTGGAGCATCTCCCTGACCTCCTCTGGACTTGCTTCAGCAGCTCCACATCCTTCCTGTGGTGAGGACTCCACCCTTGGATGATGCTGTGCACAGATCAGGTGTGATACGAAAACTCAACCCTTTCCATGACGCTTTTCCTCCTTGTTTTTAGGAAAATCATCCTTTAATCCAATGAAAAGCGTACACACACCAGCCCGGAGGAGATTCCCACGGCTGATCCCAGGGGATGGACAACCCGAGCCCCGCCGAGGATGTTCCCAGTCTCCTGGGGAACTCTGCGCTCCTTGTTCAGTGCTCCGTGTCCATTAGGTGGCAGAGCAGACCTTCCGCAGCACTCCCAAAAATCACACAGCATCCTGGGAATCCTCCTCCCTCCCTCCCCCGCGCTCCCTCTCGAGTGCCCAGGGATCCCAGATCTTCAGGGAGTGGGGCTGGTTCTCCACCGTGGATCATCTCTTCCTCAGCGTCGCTGCCTCAGGCTCACAGGACGGCCCATGATCCCAGAAATAAATGGGGATGGGATCCATCACCTCCCTGTGCACATCTTCAGGGGAAATCCTGGATTTTTAGGTCTCCATGGAAGCATGAGGCTTCTCAAACATCCCTAGGGACCCCAGGACGTGGCTCTTGACTCATCCCTGCGGTGTTGCTCCTGGAGGGGAGGATTTCCTTCAGCTGGGAGGGGTTGGCATGCCCAGAGGATGTTTTATTCCCTTTCCTGCTGCTCCCAGGGTCTGGATCACTCCTCAATCCCCATTCCCTGCAGGACGCATCCCACCGGGATGTTCCCAGGGGATCACCACTGGGTTATTGCACCATGGGGGCTCTGTAATGCTCCTCCCATCGCTGCTCATCGTGGTTCTTCTGGAATTCCATCACATCCCAAAATCCAGACCAGGGGAATAAGTGGGAAGAGAATATTCCCTGTCAGGGATGCAATGTCTCCAGCTTTTCCATAAATCCTCCTCCACCTGCTCCAGGAGCTGTGGCTGACACAGGTGTCTCCCAGATCCCTTCTCCAGCTCTCCCAGGAATCCCCTGTTCCTTTTTCCCAGGCAATTCCTTCCTCCACAGTTAATACCTTTTCTTTTCCAGCACATCCAGATGTTACTCCCATCCCTGCATCCCTCTGCCCCTGTGGATTTGGAATGGATTTGGTGCCATGAAAATGGAATAGGAGTGGAAAAGCACAGGGAAAGTGGGTCAGGAGGTCCTCTTGCGCCCTAAATTTCACTAGAAGGAAGTAAGTTTGACAGGGATGGAGTCAATCCAACTGATGCCATCCATGTGTCCAAGTTGTGCCAAGAGGAGCTGATCTGAAGGAGCTTGTTGCTCTCCCCTAGACCGAAAAGGGATCCTGAGCCCTGAGATGGATTTGCTTGGACAGACAAGGCCACACTGAGCTCCTGGAGAAATAGGGATGCAAATCCCAGGGAAAAGCAACTGGAGGATGATTTAGGAAGTTGGATTAAAGGAGCAACAGGAATGGAGGTGAAGGAGACCTACCGAGGCAGCAGGGAATATGCAGGGAGGCTCCTGGGAGGTCATGGAATCATGGAATGATTTGGGTGGGAATGACCTTAAAGCTCATCCAGTTCCAACCCTGACACTTCTCACCAGCCCAGGTTGCTCCAAGCCCCATCCAACCTGGCCTGGAACACTTCCAGGGATGAAGATGCCACAGGATGATTCAGTAGCAAAAAAAAATAAATTAGTAAATAGTAGGGAAAAAAAAATGAATTAAGGGAAAGAAATTTCCAGGTGGGTGACAAGGGAGAGAATAAGAACGAGCAGAGGATTTGGCCATTGCTGAGGGGACTGGAAGGGATGTCTGGGATAAGGCCTTGGAGAAGATCCACCCGATCACTGCGGCAGATGAGAGGGTGGTGAGACACTGCCAGAGGGCAGGGATACGTGGGATATTGGGGAGGAATTGTTCCCTGTGAGGGTGGTTTTTCCAGGTGGGTGACAAGGGAGAGAATAAGAACGAGCAGAGGATTTGGCCATTGCTGAGGGGACTGGAAGGGATGTCTGGGATAAGGCCTTGGAGAAGATCCACCCGATCACTGCGGCAGATGAGAGGGTGGTGAGACACTGCCAGAGGGCAGGGATACGTGGGATATTGGGGAGGAATTGTTCCCTGTGAGGGTGGTTAGGTGCTGGAATGCAATTCCCAGAGTAGCTCTGGAGAGGGCCCAACGACACCCACAGAGAAGGACCCTTCAGAGCTCCTCCCTCACCTGCAGCTCGAGAGCTTTGATGCGGTGCCTGTGGTTCCTCAGCTCCTCCTGGAGCTCTGAGATCAGCTCCCTGAGCTCCAGGATCTGCTGCTTGCGCTCCTCATTCTCGTGGAGCCAGTAGGACACCTCGTCCGTGCAGCGGAACATGTCGGGACACCTCTGCTCGTCTCCCTGGGGCAGCGTGGCCACGATCCTGCAGCGCCCATTGGGAAGCACCTGGTTGCTGTACTCTCCACACTGGATCAATCCCGTCCCCTCCTGAGGACCTTCGTGGTCCCTGTATTCCTCAGGCAGGGATTTCTGGAGAGAGGGAGTGCTCAGTGTGGCCATGAGGATAAGGGACATCAATCCCACCCCAACAGAGCTGGTGGTGGGGCAGAACTCCATCAGGATTGTCCCCAAGGGTGACTCAACGTGTCTTGTCATCAAAGGATGGCGGGGAGAGAGGTGGCAGTGCCCAGGGCATAACATCAGGTCTTCTCCTGGGAGATGGAGCTCTGTGGGATCAGAGCGTGAAGAGAGATCCCAGAGGTCCAGCCAAGGTGGTCACTGCAGGTGAAAGACTTGCCTGTCCCCATAGAGCATCTTGACTGGTGTCACCTGGTGGCCACCTAGCTGGGACCTTCTCCAGCAGGAGTTCCTCTGCTCTCCAGGTCAGGTTCCAATCGCTTTGTGGGATGTTTCCCCTCCTGTGGAGCTGCTGGAGGATGTGGAGGTCTGGTTGGGGTTGGTGGCTCCCTCAGGAATGGCTTTCTGCCCACTCAGGACCATATACAGGAAGGAGATGGATCCTCCAGACTGGGCATCTTGCTCCTCTGTCACTCCCTGACATGGGAACCAGAGCAAGGACACAGGTGATGGAGAGGAAGCATGAGCAACCAACCAACTCTCCCACCATCCACAGCTAACTGGCAGGTCCTCCCAACCTTCCCTGGTGTTCCTCAGCCATCCCAAGGGACACAGAGCATGGACTGGGTCCCCTGCAGCCATCGCCAGGGAGACAGAACATGGATTACATCCCCTCAACATTCCCTGTCCCACTCTGGACATCCTCAGGGACACAGGGCATGGACTAGGTCCCTGCAACATTCCCTGTCCCCCTCCAGCCATCCCCAGGGACCCACGGCATGGACTAGGTCTCCTTCAGCCATCCCCAGGGATGCAGAACATGGATTAGGTCCCTGCAACATTCCCTGTCCCACTCCAGACATCCCCAGGGACCCAGGGCATGGATAAGTTCCTCCTCACCTTCCCTATCCCCTCCAGCCATTCCCATGGACACAGGGCATGGATTAGATCTCCTTCAGCCATCCCCAGGGACACAGGGCATGGATTAGGTCCTCCCAACCTTCCCTGTCCCCTTCCAGCAATCCCCAGGGACACAGGGCATGTATTTGGAGCTTTCTCCATGTCCCTATGTATGATTTTTCCTTGGAAGTTGTAGCTATAAGTGTCATTCCCAAGTGACCTGTGGCCACTCCACATGGACCCCAAACCACCAACCCATCCTTGGGCAGGATTAGATCCCCAACCTCTCCCTGGGACAGTCTGGATGGACCCTGATCTTGGTCTAGTTGCTCCACATGGACTCAGATCCAAAGGGAATGGAGGGATAGTGGCTTGGCCACCATCCAGGAGAGCCAAAACATTACTTGGTCCCTGTTATCAATAGAAATCAGGTCCCTCTTGCAGCCAGAGCTGCTCCTAGCCACATCATCATGCCATGGGTCCCATCCCAAGGTTCCTCCCTGTCCCACTCTGGCAGGGACAAGGAATTGGGTGGATGCCACATCCTCCCAGCAGATTCCCAGCTCCACACCTACCTTCAACGCTCCAGCCCTGGCTCCGTGGTGGAGACAGCAAGGAGCAGAGAGCACTGAGTGTCCATGGGGAGCAGAGCCTGATTTCAGGGCCACCAAATGCTTATTCCCACTGATCCTATCACCGGGATATAAATAGTCCCAGGAGAGACACCAGTCCCAGCTGACACAGGGCGGAGAGGGAGGGAGGAGTGTGAGGCCTGGACTGACCTTATCAGCACACGAGGGATTAATCCGGTGCCTTGGCAGGAGGACACAGCTCCTCCTCACCTACAAACCTGCTGGATCACCCTGCGGATGTGCTGTGGGCTCATCCCATCTGCAGGGACTTGCCCCATCCCCAGAATTTGATGAGTGCCCATGGATGGATGTCAGGGCAGGGAAGAGCCAGAGTGGGTTTATTCCCTAGCCCAGAGCTTCCTCATTGCTTTTCCAAAGGAATCATATCCACAGGATTGTTTCATTCCATGTCCTAATCATTCAGGAATGTGAGATGTTAATGGCATATCCTGCAGGAATGGGAGATGAAACCAGAGGTTTCCATATGGGACAAATCCATTGGCTGTGGGGTTTTGTTCCCTTTGTCACTTCCAGGAGATATTCTCAGGCTGATTCCCACAAAGGAGATGCTGAAAGAGCCTCAGATGGTATTCAAAACTTCGGGAAGCACCTGGAGAAGGAATTTTTCAGCTGCATACACCTCCTGGGGTGGTTTGGATTGGTGTTGGACCTCACAGCTCCTCCAACAGCTCTCCCAGATATCCACGTGAGTGTCATTTGTCAGACCTGGTACATCCATGGGCAGGAACCCAGCAAGGCTGGAAGGATCCTGTGGGTCTGGAGGTGACAAAGGGAGTGAGGACACCTGAGCATCCCAACTCTCTGTGCTATGTCTTGTCTTGGCTTCCCCATGGCTGGATCCAGTCTCTCTGGATCTCTCTGGAATTCGAGTTCCAGATCCAGATCCAATCCACCTCAATCCAGTAGGATTATATGGGAAAACTCAAATCCCAGTGGGATCACCAGCCCCAAACCAGCTCTTCTTTGCTTCAACAGCTGCTGGTGGGAGAAACAGTGCTGCAACATCCTGCCTGGAAAATAGTATTGGGATAAAAAATGGGAAGGAGGACCCCGAGATCAGCTCCAAAGCTCTGCCATGGGGGACAGCAAGGGAAGTGCTGGGAGAAGGGACACCACGGGCAGAGGGTGGGGAAATGGGGCTGGTGGGAGCTAGGAAAAAGCCTTTGGAGTAATGATCCAGATGGATGTGAAGACCTTTGAGCTACACCTGCCAATCCCTTCCCACCACCAGCAGAGTTGTTCCTCTGGCCTTGCTGACCCCCCAGGGGGGTCCTGAGCCACCCCATGGGCAGCAGAGAGGCAAGGGATGTGTGGTGGACCCCGAAATGATGGATTGCACCCCCCAAGTGGCTCTTTATGGGGGGATCCAGGAGGGATATCAGGGCAGGGACCAAGGGGAACATCTCCCTGTCCAACCCCAGCCAAGAGCACGATGAGCTAAAGACCATCTGAAGACCTTTATTGCTCATGAGTGGATCGACATTTAACGAGCTTGGCTACAATGAAATCCATTATCCTCCTCTTTCATCAGGACCTACAGCTCTGCTCCCCCTTTCCATGGCCAGAGACAGCGAGGGAAATGAGGAGGAGAAAGAGGAGGAG